TATGTCCTTTGCCTTCTAGAATATCATATTCCAAGTTCTCTGCTCCTTTATAGTGGTGGCTGCTAAATCATTTTTGATCCTGAGTCTAGCTCCTTAGTACTTGAATTCTTTCTTTCTGGCTGCTTTAACCTGGAAGCCTCTGGATTTTGTCTATAATATTCCTGGGAATTTTCATTTGGGGCTTTCTTTCATGAAGTGACTAGTAGATTTTTTTTTTCTATTTTCATTTTTCCTTCTGGTTCTAAAAGATGCAGACAGTTTTCATTTTAAGATTTAAGATTTTTAGGGTTTCTTGAAATATAATGTCTAGCCATCATTTTTTTGTTGTGGTGTTCAGATTTGAAGATTCTTAAATGTTTTCCCTTCAATCTGCTTTTCAGGACAGGGTTTGGTTTTCTTTTCTTTTGGGGGGGAGGGGGGCGTTGGTTTTGTTTTTGCTATGAGATATTTCACATTTTCTTCTATTTTTTCAAACTTTAAACATTATTTTAATATTTTGTGTTGCCTCATGGAACCATTGGTTTCCATTTGGTCTACTCTAATTTTCAGGGATTTTGTTGCTTGCACAATGTTTTGTACCTCTTGTGCCAAGTTGTTAATTCCTTTTCCAATTCATTCTTCCATAGTGTTCATTTCTTTTCCAAATTCTTCCTCAAGCACTCTCATCCCACTTATAAAATTTTTTTTTATCTCTTTTTAATTCTTGCTTCATCTTTTCCAGGAATTCTAGTTGAGTTTGTGCTCAAGCTGTGTTTTTCTCTGAGGTATTGTTTGTAGATGTTTTTTGGATCATTCTCTTCTTTTGGGTTTGTGTCTTCAGCGTCTCTGCCCAGTGGGATTTTCTGTTTGCTCATTCTTCCAGCCTACTTCCTGACTTCAGATTTGATATTAGGGCTGGGATCTGCCATACTTCTGAAGGGAAGGTCTGTGTTGATACTGTTGCTGCTTTCCTAGCGTATTGAGAATTGTGTTATTCCAGGATTTCAGAGACAGGCTGGAGACTTGCAAGCTTTTAGTGCTACCCTAGTGGTCTGACCCAGGGCAAAGTTTGCTTGCTGCTCCCCTGGTCTAAGCTCTGCATGTTCCTGACCTAGGTTTGGGTTTGGCCAAGGGTAGATGCTGCTGGACTTGGTCCCTATCAGCCAGCTGAGATGTGCTGCTTTTTTCAGAGTGGCAGAATTGTAGGCTCTCCTTTGGTGCAGGTTCATAATTCTTCATAATTCCTCTATAGACTGGGTTAGATGCTGGAGCTGATACCCTACTCTGCTCCTGGGGTCTGAGCCACACTGCCAGTACTTGTTTCCGAACTTCCTCCTTTCCAGGTACACAGGTGTACCACCCAGGGCTTCCCTACCTGGGAATACCCCCCTCAGGAGATGCAGGTCCCCTTTTGGATGTAAGCCAGAACTGGGTAGTGGGACAACAAAGCTTCTAGATGGCATCTACCCTCTTCACAATACTCTGGCTCTGAGACTTCTTCTTGCCCTGACAGCCTCTCCCTGGGTGATGCTAGCATGCTCTACAAACAGTGTGCTCCTGGCCTGATCCAGTCCCCAGCATCTGCAGACCTTCCTGACTGTCTCCCTATGCTGACTTGGCCTGGACAAATGACTCACTGTCACCTTTTCTGGATTTTCCCATCAAGCCTCGGTCTGTTGCATTTTCTAGGTCTGTTTTGAGGAGTTTTGTGAAGAGGAGCTTGGCTATCCTGCTTCTTACTGCTCCATTATCCTAGTTCCTCCATCTTGACTCCACCTCTATCCTCATATATTTTCATCTGAACAGACTATCCCAAATAACTTTAGTGTTCTCCACCCAAAAAAAAGAAATGCTTTCCTTCCTTCAGGCCCGAGAGGCTCAAGTGCCACTTAAATATATAGCTAAGGATTGTTAACTTTTCTGATCCCCAACAGAAGCCCTGTGAGGTGGTACTAACATTCTCCCTATTTTGCACTTAAAGAAATTGAGACAAAGTATTTTATTCATTATTCCTGGCTACTTCTAACTACTTCCTTAATGAAGCTTCCCCCAAACCCTCCTAATTAGAAATGATTTTCTCTCTCCTCTTCCTTCATGAATCTCTAAACCAGGGGGGTTCTTAAAAAACCTGGGGGTTATGAGAGTTCATGGATAGATTTCAGGGGATCAATGAACTTGGATGGGGAAAAAAACCTCATTATTAGTGTTTTCACTGGTCTCTAACTGAAATTCAGCATTTCCTTCAATTACATATGCAAAACATTCTATAAATCTTAAAATACCATAGAAATGCTTTTTGTTGTTGTTAAGTTGTGTCTGACTCTCTGTGACCCTATTTTGGGGTTTTCTTAGCAAAGATACTGGAGTGGTTTGCCATTTCCTTCTCCTGCTCATTTTACAGATGAGGAACTGAGGCAAATGGGGTTAAATGACTTGCCTGAGGTCATATAGCTAGTAGGTATCTGAAGCCATATTTGAACTCAGGAAGATGAGTCTTCCTGACTTCAGGCTCAGTGCTCTATTCACTTTACCACCTAACTGCCCTTCCTTCAATATGATGATGATGATGATGATGATAGCTAACATTTATATAGCACTTACTACATGCCTGGCACATGCTAAGTGCTTTACAATTATTATCTCATTGGATCCTCACAACAACCCTGGGAAGTAGGTGCTATTATTATCCATTTTACACATGAAGAAACTGAGGCAAACAGAGGTTAAGTGACTTGCCCAGGATCACACAGCTAGTGAGTGTCTGAAGCTAGATTTGAACTCAGGTCTTCCTAACTCCAGGCCCAGTGTTCTATCTACTATGCCACTTAGCTTTTTCAGAATCATATTTTTAAAACATCATTTAAAAATATGATTTTGAAAAGGGGGTCCATAATCTTCACCAATCTGCCAGAGGGTTCCATGACACCAAAAAGGTTAAGAACCTTTGTTCCTAGATGTCTCTGTTTGAACTCTCCTATGTGCTTATGCATTGTTAGTTATTTTTTACACATCTCTAAGACTGTAAACTCTATGAGAGGTGAGATGATGACCTTTCCATCTTTGTATCCCTAGCCCTTAGCCCAAGAGTCTTATATTTGGTGAAGGCCTAATAAATGTTTTGCTGAATTGAATTGACTGCCTTCCAAGGTCCATTCAAGCAGCAAGATGCTACTGGTTCCAATGGCTTATTCCTTCATGGCAGCAGACTGGAGAACCTGAGAATGTAAGCTTTCAGGCTGCTCTCCCTTCCCCGCTTCCCTCCGTTGATGAAATTTTCCTCTTCTAAGGAGCCATCAAAACCCAGACTCCATCAATCAAATAGTCCATACTGGGCCATCACTAGGCATCCTGACCTATGTCTTGACTCTGATGACTCTGAAGGAGAGAGTTAGGCTGACAACTTTGCACAGCTCACTTAAATCTAATTAACTTACTTGCAAGTCAAGACATCACCCTTCTGATGTCAGAATGAAAGACAAACAATAAGATCTTCATTGAGTGAAGATCTGACCTTTGCTGAGCTGAGGAAGATATAGTTACATGGGGTGTAGTTCCTGCCTTCCAAATGATTACACTTTAGTCAGGAAATAAGATTAATGCAAATTCTTCTGGCATTCAATTCAGTAAATGATGATTAAGCATCTAGAAGTAGATGTCTGGTACTAGGAACTTAAGGAGATATGAAGAGAAGAAAGATTCTAAACTAAGCATATCCTTGGACCAAACAATAGCACTGTTAAGAAAATAAAAAAAAGAGAAGGACCTATATGTAAGAAAATATTTATGGTGGCCTTTTTCATGGTGGCAAAGAATTGGAAACCAAGGGAATACCCAATCAATTGGAGAATGGCTGAACAAGTTATGGCATATATATATATATATATATATATATATATACACACACATACACACACACACACACACGCACACACACACATATATAGTGTGTGTGTGTGTGTATAGTATTCTATAGAATACTATTGGTGTTGTAAGAAATGATGAAAGGGACAGTGTTGGTGAAACCTGGGAAGACTTGTATGGACTGATGTCTGCATCAGTGAAGTGAGTAAAAACAGGAGAACAATTTATACTATAATAGCAACATTGTAAAAATGAACAATTTTGAAGGACTTAGGAACTCTGATTATCCAATACAATGCCCAGCCATGATTTCCAAAAGACTAATGCTACCCGGCTTCTCACAGGAAGGTGATGGATTCAGGTTGCAGAATGAGACCCACAATTTTTGGACACGGTCAATGGGAAGTTTTGTTTTGCCTGACTATGCTCATTTGTCACAAGGGTTTTGTTTTTCTTGGGGGTGGGGATGGGGCAGGATATGAGAAGGACAAAAAATGAATGCTTGGTAATTGAAAAAAAATTAGTTAAAAGAAAAAAAAAGATAAATCAGATGATCCTTTCCCCCAAGGAGCCAACAGCCTAAAAAAAATCCAGCACAAGAGATAAGATCTGAACAACTCAAACCAGAATGTAATCAAGTGTTAAATTATGTGCGATAGATTCTAAATATGGTGAGCATTGCAGGGGTGGAAGGATGAGGGATAGCTGCAATCAATGTCTGTCATGGAAGAGGGGGCCTTGAAGGGTGGGTAAAATAATAAATCATAGCATTTATTAGATCTGAAAGAGGCCCTGGAGTCTAGGGTGTGTCCGGTGTCTAGCTTGACACTCTTCTTTCACGGACCAGATTAAAGAAGGAGAGGCCAGATGTGAGACCTTGCCCTGCTTTCAGAAAGGGCTGGGGAGAGGAGAACACGTGGCCATCCTAAGGAGAAAGGCCAGCCAGGCCTTTGAGCTTTAACTACTGAGATCCGGATCTCTGCGGATGATGACCTGGTCAGTCTGGATTTCTGGCCCAGAGCCCTTTAAAGAGCTTAACTGGAAACATCTGGAATGGGGGGAGGGCTTAAAATCCCTGGGTCCTGGGTGCAGCTGACCTCAGGCCCGGGGAAATTGAGCTAGTCCCAGCACGGTGAGAGCTAGAGTCAAGGGGCTTGCCCATGTGGTTCTCCATTGGCGGTGGCAGCAACCTCTTCTCTCCTCCTTCCAAGGACTGGCTCCAGAATGCTCTCTCAGACCCTGAAGGGCTAGGCTGGGGGGGTGAGGGACAAGGTGCTGCAGAGAAGGTGCTGAAGATGTGCCCAGCAGAGGAGGAAGACAAGGAAGAAGAGTGTGCTCTGCTCTCTCTCCTGGACAGAGGAAAACTGGAGGAGACCCTGGGGCCTGACTTAGTAAGTAAAATCCCCTTCTTCCCACCCCCTGCTCAAGGTGGCATCATTCATTCCAGAAGCGTTTAACAAGAGCTTACTTTCTAGGGGCCAGGCAAGCATTAAAACTAGGGGTGCCTTGCCCTCAAAGAGCTTCCATTCCAATGGGGGTCTAGGAATATACAACATATGTTCAGAGTAAAGGGAAGGTGCCCTCAGAGGGAAGGCAGCTGGAGAGACCCTGAAATGCCTCCTGTAGAAGGTGAGATATGAAATCAGTTTAAAGGAAGTTCAGGAAGCAGAAAGAGCATTGGAGTTCAGGTCCATTGACTTGCTGAAGGCAAGAAAGTACTCCTGTAGTTTCTTCCTCTGAAAAATGAGGGCAGGGAGGAACCCAACACCCTAAAAGCCTCTGTATGGACTCATGTTCCTAGGAGTCTGGGATTCCTATCCATCCTTTACAAACTTGTTTTGATTATGCAGTCCTTGAGGGTGGACCTCCAGCTCCATGGCAATCTCTGCTGAATCCTCATAGGCAAATTCAGTGTAGGCACTGACTTATCTCCGGGGGAAGGAAAGGAAGGCAAAGAAAGATTCCATAGCAATAGATCATACAGTCCTCTCAAAGAAGCTAGGAGGATCTTTAGAAGTTTAGAAGGGAGTCCTAGAGTGACAGCAAGTGATTGAGGGGGTGGCAGTGATGATGAGGCCAGAGAATAGGCCACTGGTATCTTCCCCTGGGTTCCATTCCCCTCCCCCATCCACTGGAGTTCAAAGGAAACTGGTCTCTGAAGGAGCCTGACTTCAACAGGAGGCAGGTGTTTCCACCCAAGTGCCCCAAGGAGATGGGCGGGAGCTAGAAGACATCAAAACCAGGCTACAGAAAATAGAGGAGGCCCATGAGAGACAGGAGCTCAAAGGTATGGAAGAGACAGAACAGCAGCAGGAGAGGGAGGTTGCAACAGAAGCTTCCAGCCCATTACTATCTCCAGCCCTGTGTGACAATAAGGCCACTCATCTTCTGACCCCAGGGAACGGTAGGAAGCTGGCCCTTGCACTTTCTCCACACTCTGCTGGTGCACATAGGCTTTGGGGAGGGTGAGAAAGAAGCAGGAAAAGAGAGCCTGGAATGGGAAGGGGCATCCATTTGTCTGCAAGGTTCCAGAAATCAGGGTAGCCAAGGAAGTATCTGGGAGACATAACCTCTAACCCCATGGATTCTTGGCTCTGAAGTGTTCAGCCCTTCTTCCCCCTGAACTGCACAGTGGTACTCCCACCTATCTTGAGTTCCTCCTGCAAATAATTTCTCATTCTAGGTATACCCTTCCAAGGGACACCCATTGAGAAGTTACAGGCTGATCACAGATCTGTCTACGTAGGCAATGTAAGTAGTTGGAAAGGGCACTGAGGGTGAGGGACTATTGGTCAGGTGAACCCCAAGATGAGGTGAGAGGGTAGAGAAGACAAACCCTCTTTATAGACAGCCACACCGCCTGCCTTTAATTTTGACCATCTTGGCCCAGCATGAACCAATTAGATAAAAGTGTCTGGGATGTCTTACTACTACTACTTGTCTGATGATGGGGCCCTTGATGGTCAGAAGGGCATTAGGTCATGATGCTAGAGCCTATGAGGGAGGTCCTGCTGCAGAAGGAATGAAGGCTACGTAGTCTCCTTCATGGTGACTGATGGGTTGGGGTACTACTATTGGTCTTTGTGGCCAGTGCATCCATGCTGACCACCATCAGGTCAGTCTGAGCTCTGGTTCTAGTCTCTGGAGCATTCTTTGGGGAGAGGGAGAGGAAAGGTTTGAGAAAACACTTGGAGGAAGAAGGTAAACTTTTTTTTTTTTGCTACAAATGCCTATCCTGCATGTTTGTCACAATCTGGGTGTAAACACACACACACACACACACACACACACACACACACACACACACACACACACACACACACACACACGAGCTGAGCTCTGATGGGCCAGTATTTCCAGGTGGATTACAGTAGCACGGCTGAGGAACTGGAGTCCCTCTTCAACTGCTGTGGTGAAATCAACAGGGTCACCATCCTCTGTGACAAGTACTCTGGACACCCCAAGGGGTCAGTGCTAGGGCTCGTGGGGAAGGGGAGGAGGGAGAGTGTTGGATTGGGTTGGGGTTAATCCCAACCTTGCAAGATCCTATGATTGGTTAGATGCCTAGATGTTAATTCTCCCCTCTGAGTCACTGTTGTATGACTATCTTGGCCACAAGCAAGAATTGTGTCATCTTCATCTTCTGCCCCTTCTCGGGAGCTTTGGCCCTAACCCTGCCCGTGACCTGTCCTGCTCCTTAGCTATGCCTACATTGAATTTGCCTATGAGGATTCAGTGAAGACTGCTATGGATCTGGATGAAACCACCTTTAGAGGCCGCATAATCAGGGTGAGTTTATCAGAGGCCAGCAGTTAGAAGATGGATGGGTAGAAAACACCATGTAAATCAACAGATGTTTAGTAAGCCTCTCACTGTTACATAGCCCAGTGATGATGGATTGAAGGGATAGGAGCACAAAGACTAGACTTGTGAAGGGAAGGGTTCAGATAGGAGACCCTTGGGGAAGTAGCATCAATAGAATACTTCTCTTTCTCTTGTTCCCTATATCCAAAGGTAACCGAAGTTTCCATTCTGAAGTGCTAGGAAAATGGTGGCAACCACTGAAATAAATGAGAAATCCGGAAGAGCAGCTGGGATGTTTCTTTAGAGAAAAGGCAGTTATTCATCGTTAAAAAGAATTCTATGTTGTTGTTTAGTTTCAGTCATGTCCAACTCTTTGTGTGACCCCACTTGGGGTTTTCTTGGCTAAGATACTGCAGCGGTTTGCCATTTCCTTCTCTGGCTCATTTGATAGATGAGGAAACTGAGGCAAACAGAGTGAAGTGACTTAACCAGGGTCATACGGCTATTGTGTCAGAGGTGGGATTTGAACTCAGGAAGATGAGTCTTCCTGATTGCAAGCCCAGCACTCTATCCACTATGGTGCCACCTACCTGCCTCAGGAATTCTATCTTTTTGCCTAAATCCAACCCCTCTCTAAACTTTTCTATTTCCACGAAAGCCATTACCATCCTCCATATCCCCCAGGTTGGTTACTTCTTGAATTGTCCTTGCTTCCCCCACATCAGATCAGTTGCCAAGTCCAGCTGTTAACCATCTCTTAGATCTATTCCCTTCTCTCATTCACACGGTCACCCTCACAGTTCAAGCCCTTATTACCTCTTCCTTGGATGATCAGAATAGCTTTCTCATTGTTCTTTCTCCTTCCAGTCTCTCTTTTCTCCCTCCTCCTCACCTGCCAAAAACTGCCTAAGGCACAGCTTTGACCAGAAATCCTTAGAAGGTCTGCACTGCCTCTAGAATAAAATAGAGACTCCTTAATTTGACATTGAAAATTCTTCCCAGTGAGACCGGAGCCCAACTGCACAGTACACTCCTTTGTGTGTTCTGCATCTTAGTCAAACAGTACAGCTATCTGTTCCTTAAGTTTAATACATCATTCCTCTAGACATTCATACGAGCTGCTGCCCATAAATTATCTACCCTCGCTGAATTAGCCAATGGCTTGTCTCTCCTTACATTATCTTCTTTTATACTTATCTATATAAAGGTTCCATTTCTCACTTGCCCCCAATAGAATGTAAGCTCCTTGAGGGCAGGAATTTTTTTTGTTGTTATCATCTTTGGATCCTGGGGTCTTGTATATCTGCAGTATTTAAGATATGTATTCATGGAATGGGGCAGCTAGGTGGCACAGTGGAGAGAGTGCTGGATTTGGAATCAGGAAGGCCTGAGTTCGAATGTGGTCTCAGATATTTCCTAGCTGTGTGACCCTGAGCAAGTCACTTAATCCTGTTTGCCTCAGTTTCCTCATCTGTAAAATAAGCTGGAGAAGGAAACAGCAAACCACTCCAGTATCTTTGCCCAGAAAACCCTAATGGGGTCAATGAAGAGTTGGACATGACTGAAAATAACTGAGAAATTCATGGAGTAGACCCTCCTGGTAAAAATGTGTTCATTTTACTGGGTCTTCTGGAGATTGTCCTAACCCGAACAGATGCTAGTGACAGACCATCCATAGAAGGGGAAAAGTTTAGAAGAAGGTGAGGCTTTGTGGTAGTCCTCAGATCCTGCAAAGTAATTAACAGAGCCAGCCCAAACTTGAACCTAGCCAGATCTCACAAGCAAAGCTTTGGGTAGTTTCCAGTTAGGACATCTCAGACTTTTTTCCCCCCAACTTCATCCTCTTCCCAATAACCTCTTAAGGGGTGGGGTGTTGTGGGGAATCTACTTTCTATTTCAGGTTCTGCCCAAAAGGACCAATCTTCCTGGGATCAGCACTACAGACCGAGGGGGCCTGCGGGCTCGACATTCTGGCAGAGGAGGCCCTCCCCATCGGTATGGTCTTTATATTGGGGAGCGATCAAGGCCAAGGTGGAGAAGTCACAGGTAAGGGGCACCTTGGGAGTCTCAGACAGGGTGAGGGGCAGCCCAGATCAAAATCCCAATAGCATCTATTTTTTCATTCTCAACCAGTACCACCTACAGTGGTGGAGAAGAGCAAGTAGTGGAGAAGAGCAAGAAAACCCCTCTTTGGAACAGACTGGACAATTCTAGCCACCCTCAAAGCCCAGCAAGATCTGGGATAGGATGGAAAGGGCTGAGCTAGGGGAGAAAGCCAAGAGATTTTAGTTGCTAATTCTAGGGAAGGAGAATATCTAATTAGTCCCTGAGTCAAGAATTGTCTTTCCTTTGAAGTCACTGTCATTGACTTTGTCATGGCAATGTGACAAAATGCTGGCCGGGTTCATTTCCTGAAGGATTGATCATACTTTTCAGATATGGCAGGAGGTAAAGGAGTCCCAAACTACCCAGTAATTTCCATCAGGCAAGATGATACTGATTCCTACAAAGCTATGCAGAGCACCCCCAGAGAGGTAGATGGTGATAGAGTAACCCACTGATGAGCGGGTCATGTCAATAACAGCCCAGTCCAATGTATCTACTTGTTTTTAAGGCTTTGCCCACTCTGACAATATGCAACTTCTGATCCATTTTTCTCTCATAGGGGGCATGGAAGATTCTCCCAGTGGTTTGAGCCATACTAAAGCGTCGGACCAGTGATCTGAGCTATGAAGAAAACAGGATGACTGAGATCTGGGACCATCTTAACTACATAACCAGTGTGCTCAGCTGGGATTCAGTGGGGGTGGGGGTGGCATAGAATAAAGCTGGTCCAGAGTACAGTGCAACCAAAACACATGGCCAGCCTGTCAGGCAAAACCCTGTGGCTAAATTACAGACCTATAAGAGGCCTCAGGTTGGGGGCATGTGAAGCTCTTTCCTTTTTTGTTTCCCCCTCTGTCTAGAGACAGATCAGTCCATGTTATCATGGAGGCATGTGGACTCCCTGATGGCCAGGGCTCTTAGAGCTAGTCTGGTCTTAGACCTCTGGTCTTTTGGCCTCTTGGACCAAGGCTGGCAGGACATTTTCAGCCAAAGCCTTGAAGCATTACGATACTAAATCAAGGTATCTGGCTTTCAGGCCTCTGGCCAACCTCACCCTGACCCTTTTCCATTTTGATAGCACCATGACTTTAGTTTGCGATTGTACACGGGGTGATCATCAGTGCAGGGTGGGGGCAGTGGGGGAGGAAGGGACAGGATGAAGCTTTAACCTAGCATGGCTTATGGTTCAAGTTAATGATTTTTAACAGAAACAAATGTACAGAATGTTTTCTTAATAATATAAATAATTAAATTTGAAATATTTTTTAAAAAGCATGGATGTTTTCTTTTTATTCACCCATCAACTAGCTGTGGTTCCTCTTCCTACTGTAAATGCAAACACTTAAAGAGGCAAGAGCTCCTTTCATTACGATGGAAAATGTCGACTCTTTTAAGGAACATGGCAGATGTCAAGTATCTTCTGTTCACCAGCCATGCATCTGAGGATGGGAATAGGGTTGACTTTTTTTGGACATGTGGGTTTTCACTTCTTTGTCTACAAGCTGGCAGGTGGTACCTGCCTGAGTTCAGAGAAGGCTGATTCTGGCTTTAATGAACAACTAAAATTTGAATTTGAGTGAAATTCTTGAATATATTACTAGCTGAATGTTTTGTTAATTTATTTACTACTTAGCTTATTAAATTTTTTTTTATTACATGCCTAATCAAGCTTTGTTTCCCTCTGTTTAGAGTGTTCTCTTCTCCTATGTCTAGCATGGGGCCAGGCACAGAGTAGGCACTTTAATGGATGCTTGCTGGTTGATCTGCCCACTTAGAAATACACTGGTGTCTGCAGGTGGCCTTCCCAGAAGCACTGGTTTCTGCTAATTTAATAACAGCTTTTATTAAGAATTGCTCTTTCTACGGCTGTTATCTCAAAGAGATCATACAAATGGGAAAAGGACCCACATGTACAAAAATATTTATAGCAGCTCTCTTTGTGGTGGCAAAGAACTGGAAATTGAAGGAATGCCTATCAACTGGGGAATGGCTGAACAAGTGGTATATGAATGTAATGGAATGCTATTGTGCTATAAGAAATGATGAGTAGGCAGACTTCAGAAAAACCTGGAAAGACCTGCATGCTGAGTGAAGCGAGCAGAACCAGGAGAACGTTGTACACAGTAACAGCCACGTTGTGCGATGACTAATATTGATAGACTTAGCCCTTCTCAGCAATGCAAGGATCTAAGACCTCTCCAAAGGTCTCATGATGGAAAATGCTGTCCACACCCAGAGAAAGAACTATGGAGTTGGAATGCGGATCGAAGCATACTATCTGCTCTTTTTTTTCTTCTGTTGTGTTTTGTTTCCTCTTTCTGGTGGTTCCTTCTATTGGTTCTAATTCTTACAGCATCACCAATGTGAAAATATGTTTAACAGGAATGTATATGTATAGCTTATATTAGATTGTGCGCCATCTTGGGGAGGGGGAGAAAAAGTTAAAACTCAAAAGGTTATGGAAGTGATTGTTGATAAAGCAAAACAAATTAATTAAAAACACATAAAAAAGAATTGCTCTTTCATCACTTCCCTGCTAATGTTTTCTTCCAGTGCTTTCTAGTCTTGGCACTAGCACTCAAAAAGGCTCTGTCTGCCTCAGAATGGAATCTCTGGTAGGTTCTAATCAACATCAAAGGGCTTGGCAGCTAAGTCCGGTGATGGTGTGACCCTCTACTAGGCCCGTGCTGCCCTAAAGGGAGGAGCGCTCATCCATCCCCAGAAAAGCTGTCTGCTTGGCGGTGAAATTCTCAGCCATGGATACTTCTGAAACATGGAGGGGCGGGGAGTGGCATAGAATATGGAGGGGTTGCAATTTGGATAGGTGGAGGGTGGTATACCTACACCAACAAAATAACAGATCCTTTCAAGAAAAAAAAATATATGTATAGTGCTTTGTGGTTCATGTTATTACAAATGTCCTCCTTTGATCAAGCCTACAAGACCCCTTCTCTTTCATTTATCCTGTCCTAGAGACCATCTTATCTGAGAAAGATGACAGGGTCTTCCTGGCTCTGGACTGAAGGGTTTTCCCTGCAGCTAGATTACAGAGTTTGTAAAGTACTCGTATCTGGCCCAGAGTAGATGTTTAATAAATACTTGTTTCTTTCCTTAGTGGGAACGAGATATGAGAGTAGTTCCTGCTTTGGTTTCAATACCCCATTTCCTACAAAGCTGTGGCTGCCTGCTCCTTATTAATGATCACAAGGTACCTCTGGATTGTCTCCATTTGCTTGGGACAACCTTTTAATAGTGATCTTCGGGGTGCGATCAAAGCAGAGGACTCCTACAGGTAAGAACAAGTGCTCCCTTGTAAATGATGTCGGGAAGAGGGCACTGGTCCATGGATGGAAAAACCTCTTCTTGGCTCCCTGCCCAATGCAGTGTCAAGATCTACCTACTCCTTGATCAATTACAGGTGACTGTGTCATATATACACACAAGATGGGAGTAATTACAAGGATTGCTAGCATTTGCACTGTACTTTGTTTTTAAAATATATTTTTATTTTGTTAAATATTTCCCAATTACATATATATTTTTAACATTCAGTTTTTAAAATGCTGAATTCCAAATTTCCTCCCTCCCCTCCCTCACCCATTGAGAAGCAAGCAATATATCAATAATACATGTTTTGATACATATCAAAAATTTTCCCATATTAGCCATGTTGCAAAAAAAATAAAAAGCAAGAAACAAAGTGAGAAAAGTATGCTCCGATCTGCACTCAGAGTTCATCAGTTTTCTCTCTAGAAGTGTATAGCATTTTTCATCATGAGTCCTTTGCAACTGTCTTAGATCACCATGTTGGTCAGAGTAGCTAAATCTTTCACAGCTGGTCATTGTTACAATGTTGCTATTACTGTGGTTACAATACTGCTGTTACTGTGTACAACATTCTCCTGGTTCTGTTGACTTCACTTTGTATCAGTTCATGTAAGTCTTCCCAGGTTTTTCTGAAACCATTCCCCTCATCATTTTACAGCACAGTAATATTCCATCACAATCCTATACCACAACTTGTTCAGCTATTCCCCAATTGACAAGCATCTCCTCAATTTCCCAATTCTTTCAGGTACCGCACTTTACTGGCATTATTACATATGATCCTTTCAACAACCCTGGGCGATAGGTGATATTATTATTTCCATTTTACAGTTGAGGAAACTGAGGCAAACAGAGGCTAAATGATTTTCTCAGGGTCACACAGCTAGTATCTGGAGGCAGATTTGAACTTGGTCTTCCTGACTTCAGGTCCAGAGCTTTCTGCACTGTGAGAGGCCCTAGGTGCCTAAACAAACCTTCCATGATCTATCTTTCCTTCCAGGCTCAGCTCAAGTGATAGTTTTTGGGGGGGTTTTTTTGGCTAGGCAATGGGGTTAAGTGACTTGCCTAGGGTCACACAGCTAGTACGTGTCAAGTGTCTGAACTCGGGTCCTCCTGACTCCAAGGCCAGTGCTCCATCCACTGTACCACCTAGCTGCCCTTCAAGTGATACTTTTAAATGAGGCATTCCCATTCCCCTAAAGCTTGTTAAATGATTCCTCCCTCCTTCAATGCTTTTCCTCACTGCCCTTTCTCTCTCTCCCCTACCAAAAAAGAATTACTGGTATCTAAAGAAGTCTCCCCTGGCTAGGCTATAAGCTTCTTAAGGGTAGAAACTGTTTGGTTTAGGCACTTAATATTTCATTGACAGGAAGTAGACTGACAAACTTCCCATAAGATTCTAAAGGTCTGGCAAAAAATGAGAAAACTCTATTCTAACACTGACTTAAGAATCAGGCTCATAGATTTAGGATTGGAAGCATGTGGATAAACCTATCTGGCAGGTTCTGCTAAGGGGCAGCTAGAGGGTGCAATAGAGTGAAGATGACCGGAGTTCAAATGTGCCCTCAGTCACTAGCTGTATGATTCTGGGTGACTCACTTGACCTCCACCTGCCTCAGTTTCCTCAACTGTAAAATAAGGATAATAATGGGGTTGTTATTGTGAGGACCAAAGGAGATAGTTGTAAAAGGCTTAGCATGGTGCCTGGCACATAGTAGGTACTTAATAAATGCTTCTTTCCTGGTCCAACCCCCTCATTTTTACAGATAAGGAAACTGAGGCTTGCCCAGGGTCATACAGGTGGTAAGTGGCAGAGGAAGAATTTGAACTCAGGTCCTCTGACTTCCAAGGCCAGCATTCCTGATTCTTGTTATTGTTCAGTTGTGTCCAACTCTTTGTGACCCCATTTGGGGTTTTCTTGTCAGAGATCCTGGAGTGGTTTGCCATTTCCTTTGACAGATGAGGAAACTGAGGCAAACAGCGTTCAGTGACTTGCCCAGGGTCACCCAGCAAGGAAGTGACTGAGGTCAGATTTGAACTCGGGGATTATGTCTTCCTGACTCCAGGCCCAGTGCTCTGTGCACTATGGCGCCACCTAGCTGCCCTATCTTGGCTCTACCATGCCGTAAATAGAATGAATAACTGCTCTTGCTTACATCTACCCTGGTCTTATCTCCTAACATAAGCCCTACAAAGGAGTTTGCTGCCATATTCTCTTCTATTCAGTTCTCTCAGCTTCCATTCCCAAATATGTACCAAAAAGAGTCTTACTAGACGTTCTGGGGGGATTTGAGGAACAAAAGTTTTGGCTACAAGAGCGTGTTTGTGATGGTGGGTCTGTCTTTCCCCACTTCCCCAGTGCTATCCACTCTGGTTTTATCACACTTCTGGGTGGTAGTTGGGTTTTTTTTTTGGGGGGGGAGTGTCTCCTGGGCAAACCTGGGGACCCCAGTGACTTGGGTTTTCCTCTCTTCTACAGGCTTCCATTGTAAGAGAAAGAAGCAGTAAGAACTGGATAACCAACAACTATTTATCACAGCACTACTACGTACCAATCACTATGCATAGAAATACAAAAATGAGATGGTTCCTGTACTCAAGGAGCTTACACTCTACTGGAGGGGATACCATCCAAGCACATACAAAACTAATGAGGGAAGGGGCACAGAGATGAGGATGAATAATATACTAACAGCTCGGAAATCAGAAAAAGCACCTTGAAGGGAGACCTCTTCAATAGCCCCAAGACTCTCCACAGAGAACACAAAACAGGTGAAGGGAGTAATGTGTAATCATCCTGGAAGGCCAGGATGCTCTTCTGCCCTTAAGACTTGAGACCTAGCTTTAGCAGGAAGGGCCTAGCTCTGA